TTTTTTTTTCCTTTTGATTTCAGGGCATCTGTCACAAACCTAAACATCCTATAGGAAATGAGTTATTTTTTAAGAACCAAGGATTTAATTTGGATAATTTTTAAAACTCTCAAGACCGTTATTGAGATACCGAGTGATACAAGCACATGGCTGAAAATCATTCTGAATCATATTCTAGCTAGAGGCCTGTCATAACTAAATCTTTTCCTCAAGTGGATTCATTTTTACTTCCACAGCAAGCATTAAGAACTATTGTACTAAGCTAAAAACGGGTTGCATCCTACTGGGTCCCAGAAGGAAGACAGAAAGAATAGTTATAGAGTTATATGCCTAACTTTCTCTCTCACTCTCCCTCCAAATCAAAGTCTCACTTTTGCAAAACAAGCTGCTCACACCCACACTTATCAGAGAGCCACTTAAAGCTTTATTCAGATTGAGCTGCCCTGGCATAAAAGTGTTTTCAAAAATTAAACTACAGAAGTACTATTGCTACCCTATATATATTTTCCAAATTACAATATGAATAGAATTACAATTATATATGCATTTGCAGATTTCCCTTTTCCTCTTCTCTCTAATCCACAAATATATTATGCCTATAGTCACCTAGACTTAAAATGTAGGGAGTTTCCTTCGACTTTCCCTTTTTCTTAGCTTATCTTTTGTATTCAATTGACAAGTACTCTTGACTTCTTCTCTCTGATGTGTCTTTCATCCACCCCTTCCTTTTCATTCTTATTGCCTGGATTCAGTCCAAGTTTTCTTATCCTCTCTCCAGACTATTGCCATGGTCTCTTAATTGGGCTTCTGCTGGTAGTCTCTTCCTGATCCAATTCATTCTGCACATCACTGATATCACTGACATGTAATGATGCTACTTTATAGTTTAAAATATCACAGCACCTCTCCATCACCTATTTAAAAATTTCCAAATGTCTTAGCTTCATGTTTAAGAACCTACAAGTTCAATCCTAGTTCAAGCCCCAGACTATTTTTGTAGCTTTATCTCCCACTATTCCTTCTTAGGGTTCTTCAATCAATTTGTTGACGCATAGTGCCCTCTCCCTTGACCACACTTGGAGCTCTCTGCACGTGGCACCTCTAGACTTCCCCTTCAGGGGAAACTATGTGTCCCAATTTTCATGGGATAGCCCGGGTATACACCTAACAATACTTCATTTTACTCTCAAAAGGGCCCCAGGGTGGATCTCCACCCCATCTACTAAAGTCCCAATCTTCAAATCAGCTCAAATGTCACCTCCTTCATGAAGTTTTCCATTAGAAGAGCTCCTTCTCATCTCTGTAGAACTACAGAACTTTTGTGCATACATATTTAAGGCCACCGTTAATATATTCCATCTATTGTAACCTAGACCCAGGGGCAGCAAACTATAGTCCATGGGCCAAATCTGGTATGCTGCCTGTTTTTGTACAGCCTACAAGCTAAAAATAGTTCTCACATTTTTTTTTCTGTAGAGACAAGATGGTGCTCTGTCACCCAGGCTGAAGTACAATGATGTGGTCATAGCTCGTTGCAAGCTTGAACTCCTAGGCTCAAGCTATCCTCCTATCTCAGCCTCCCACAGTGTTGGGATTACAGGCATGAGCCACTGTGCCCAACCAGTTTTTACATTTTTAAATGGTTTTAAAAAGTAAAAGAAGAATGATAT